AAAGGACCACCCGTCTTCGCGCAGGCCTACAATCTGACCCAGCTCTAACTGATCTAATTGCTTAAAGGAGAAAGGAGTGCGACGCCGTGGCATACCTAAGTCCCAACTAGACCTTATCGCAGTGGACAGCGCCTTTTGAAGCTGCGGAGTAGATGGCGCGTCCGTGCCATTTCATCACGCTGCCATTACGTCATCGGGCGTCAGTCTTCTGTGAAATGTTAATCACGGCTTCTAAGGCCCCCCATTCCTGACGTCCCTTATCGCCTGCTTAATTGCTCGTGCTCTTCCCAGGGTGGGAATATTATTTTCCGCCAGTGTATTTCATATATTCAGGTAGACATTTCGTGGAAACTACTAGTTGGGATGACCGTTTTAATGAGCTGATTTTTTAGAACAGACTTTTTTAAAGACAAAAAACTGTATTTTTCATTCTATATTTTCCAACTGTTAATTTTTTGCAGTTTTCGAATATTCAGAGAATTCAACGAAAATGAGATCAGCACCATTTCTTTAAGCGATCTTTCTTCTGTTCTAAAAAAATTAAAAACATTTGGAACGGGTTTTGATAACATATTTGTTAAGATATTTCAAGCGCAAATTATGCAAAAACTACTCATTTTTCAAAAATATGTATATTACCTTTTTTAAAGAGCTGTTTTTTCGACTAACTTTGTCAGAGGAAAAATCTCCATCTTAAATATTGTAGTTTTAAAATGTCAACTTTTTGCTATTTTCGAGAAACCAGGCAATACTCGAAAATGACTAGCACCATATTTTTTACGATTTCGTGTTACACATTTTGAAAAAAATTAAAGAAAAAATTAGGAGCGGATTTTCATTTTAAAAAATTAAGGAAAATTGCCTTTACTTCGGGTGAAAGTTCACAAAATTACTCATATTTTCGAAAAGTAGACCATGACCTTATTTCAAGATGTCTTTAAAGAAAACAGATTTCATTTTGCAAAAAAAAAAAAAAAAAAAAATCTTCAATATTACAATTGCATGAACACGCGGGAAAAATTGAATTTTGGTAATTTTCGAAAATCAGGGATTTTAACCAAAATAAGGCCTGCACCATTCTCCTAAGCGTCTACTATCCTATCCAAAGACAAAAATGTAATAAAAAAATTTGGTGCCATTTATTAAAATTACGAAAAAATGTCGGAGGGGCTTATTGTGAAGTACCGCATCAACCAATTAACATATCTGTTTCAAATTCCAGGGACCGCGACATCCGCGAGAACGATTGGGGAATATCAATTTTCGAGAGAATCAGCGGAACGGTTTATGCGCTAGCGTTGTGCACAGTCATAAAGATAGGCGTTTTGCCGTCAATCGATTTTTCGGTATCAAGAACCCACAAAACATGGATTCTGGCTATATCACGTGTTAGAGAATTTCTTTCTATGAATAGAAACTGGATTTATCCACTTTTGCGTTACCAGGGACCGGCAATAAGAGTTTTTGTGTCGAAAATTTGTCATTTTCCGGCGCACGATTACAATACTTTCTCTTCTTGCGTTAATAAGGTCGAGAAAGTAAAAGCGGACTGTCTGCTCAGTAGTCACGTGGCAACCTTTAACAGTGTGAGTGCTATCTGAGGTCGTGGCCAGGTCACAGCACCACAGCATTGCACAATACGGGGACCAAAGGCCTGACAGCTTCAAGATGCATTGACAGTGTAAGTGCTCTGTGTATGCCTGTGCTCGGTGCACCATGGACAGCATCGGACATCATCTGTCCATCTCAATATGACAACATGCAAGAAACATTGCATTTTGTGCACAACGCATATAAGCCACGAAGCACACTCTGTCTCAGCCAGCTGTATAACAAGAGGTGCGAGAGTGTGGAGCAGTATAGAAACAAACACTAAGTATTTCTTGCGTGACAAGCCACCCTATAAGTGGGATGCAGAAAGTGCAACATAAGAGCATGCAACAATGGATCGTGTGTTATGCTGCTGGTAATTGACCCAAGATATAAAGGTCTACTTACGGTGTAGGCATTCTGATGTTTTGTAGCTCTACTTGTTCAAATGACTGAATCGATCGAAACTTGGGCAATAAGCTAAAATTCGTACTTGTAGTAAACCCTATATTCTAAAAGTACATTTTCTAAATTAATAATATGTATAAGTAAAAAAAGAAAGAAAATACCGAATCGTTATTTATTAATTATTAGATAAATATTCATTAATATATAATACATTATTATATAAATATGTACTAACAATTTGTCTATAATTGCCAAAAACACCTATAGGTGAAAACAGGTAGCTTATCATAAAGTATTTAAACATTAATGTCAAAAATATTTAGTCAATATGAAACATTTTTTGCATGTCACTGGAGAATTATGTTACAGCTAATTAATTTATAATTGAGGTTTCATTTTAGTGTGTCATTGCCCAAAAACTTTCATTACTTACTGATACATTTTGAAATCAAGTTATTTGTTTATTTCCCCTTCAATTTTAGATACTTTTGTTTGTTATAATTACTCCATTTGTTGGTTGTAATTTTTTTTTGTTGGTTATTAATCATTGATAAAGAATGTCTAAACCCAAAAAAAAAGGCAAACAAGTTTTTAAATCTGAGACTGAAAGATCTTATGATATGATTTCCTCAAATAAATTTCAGAAACAATATTCAGAATATTTGAGACTAGGAATTGGTCCTTTGTACATGAAAATTTTAACTGATGTTAAAAAAGCAGCAAATGAGTCAGATATTAATAGTTTAGAAAACCTTGAAACCCATATTAACTATCTGAAAACTCTCTATAGTCCAGAAATATTGCAGAATTTGTGTGATGATATTAGCAATCCTCTCAGAGATACAAACTTGATAATTTTAGGGTGCAAAAGCAATTCTATTAGAGTGTTGAAATATTTATTGTATAGGGGCCATAGTACAAGTTTGTTTCACTTACCCCACATAAGCAGAAAAATTGCTCCAGAAGATGAAGATGATGAAAAACATAATGCTTTCTATTATGCCATTCGCTCAAATGATGTTGAACTTCTGGAGTTACTAATTAGTAAGTGGCCTAATGATTACTTCCAAACAAAATCTGAATTATTAGATGAAATTCTGTCTAAGGCTTACGAGGAATTGAAATTGAAACATGTTTTGCTGTCAGATTCAATGGATATATTTGTAGCAAATAAATTAGTAAAACTTCGCTTCTTTTCTGATTCTGAGCAGTCTCCAAATGAAACAACGTTTAATAATGTTAGTGAAAGAATTGAATTCTTTCTTGAAAATGTCAATTTATTAAGAGAGGAATATGCATTTTCAGATGTTGATGATAAATTTCTTCATGTATCAAAATTTATTCTGAAAACTGTTTATTATTTAAAACAGCAATTAAAATGTACTTATGATGTGCTCCCATGGGAAGAAATAGAATTTTGTTTAATTGCGTTTGTTGTGGGACACCAGAGTCGTGAAATTAATTTTGTATATAAGTCAGTATTGAGCAAACAAAAACTGCTGACTTATTTGGAATCATTTGCAAAACACCTTAGTGAAATGAAAGAATATTTATCAACAATGGGAACAAATAAGTTAATCGTATTTCCTAATCTGAAACGTGAGGAAGCCCTATTAAAAATTAGCAAGAGTTGTGATATATTTGCTGAGTTGTGTAAGGATTTTAAAATAATAAGAGATATTCATTCATTGGAAACTATCCGTAAATATGCAGTTTTGGCAGAATCAGCTAATAGTAAGGAAAAGGAAGGTCAATTTCTAATTATGAGAAGCTTACAAGTAGTTGGTGAACATTTGAAGAATACTTTGGGATCTCCAAAACTAGGAGATGAGACTGGTGAACTTCTTTTTAGTTTGTTTCCACAAAATGTAAAACAAATATTCTCAGAAATTCGAAATTCTTTTTCACATGCTTATACACTTGGAAAGAGAAACGAGATTCAAAGATGTGTGAATGATAGTTATTTCTCAAATATCCAGACTGACATTAAAAATATTAATATGTTAATCACTGGCATATTGAAAGATTGTAAAATGAAGGTAGTTGAAACCCAATTACAAAAGTTTGTTGACAGTAAAACTTTGAAGGAAATAGAAGATATTGCAGAAGTATTTTGCTCAGTAAGTAATTATGAATCTGTTGTTACAGATTATAAAATCTTTCCTGAAAGTGAAAATGATATCATTTATTCATTTGAAGAATTTATAAAGGGAATGAACAAGAAATTCATTGACAAATCTTTCTATGAAAAAGAACTTCTTGGAGAGATTGAGCAGCTGATAAATTTGGAAAAAAACTATTTGAATGTGAATGCAAAGAGTACTCAGGGTTTATTTTTACTAAAAACTCTTAGTATCAATTGGAAGAATGGGCATTTAACTGTAAAATCAATTTCTTGCCTTAAAAAAAGTGCAAATGATGTATTAAAACAGATTTCTATACCAAGAAAGGATGGTTTTCAAAAAATTGCTTCATTGTTGCTAGAGATTTACGATAATTTTTCTTCAACATTTGATTATGAAACAAAGCAACAGATGACTATTATGTTAGCATTAGTTAATCATTTTGTAAAACTCAACATAAGAAATATTAAATGGATAGAAGAATTTTGTTGGCAAACACGTATAAACAAATACAAAAATTATTTTCATGATTTTAAATCAGATCTGAAAGAAGGTAAATTAAAGCCTTATGATTGTCTCCAAGAAAGAATAAAGATGTTGAAGGATGTTCTAGAAAATAATATGACAAGTAATGATTTTTATAAAGATCTTCAATACTGTGAAAATAATGAGATTTTACAAATAATTGAAATGCTTCTGTTGGATATTTTGTCTCTTTTAGGGGATTCTTGCAATTTTTTAACTGAGAATGTGTATGTCTTAGAGAATGATTGCCCTTTATTAATTGGAAAGTGTTTCAGAAACTATTTAGCTCATGGAAATGCATGTGGTGAACTTTTCTCAATTAAACCTGCAAGAGCTGTTGTACTTAATGCTGTGATGTTTTCTAAATATAGTGTTACTGACAAAAAAAGAATTGGAAAAATAATTAAAAAAGAAGAATTGTTCTTAAAGACAAAATTAGAACAGGATATAATTACATTAACTCACCAAAAACAATTATTTCAAGCTTTGGAAAAAGGAGAACTTGAAGAGGTTAAGAAATGTATTAAAAATGGAGCAGATATTAATGCTAGAAGTTTTGATTTACAAACTGCATTACACTTTGCTGCAAGGGCCCCTAATTTGGATGCAGTAAAATTTGTTGTCGATCAGAATATTGGATTTGAAAAGAAAGATGTGGATGGACAAAGTCCCCTACATGTAGCAGTGAGATATAGGCGAAAATGTACGGTTGAGTACTTAATAGAGAGAACCAATGCCAATGTTAATGATTGTGACAATTTTGGTAAAACCTGTCTACATATTGCTGCTCAAAATGGATTTTATGATATTGTTCAAGTGCTCATAATACATAAATCTAATGTGAATGCAATAGATATAGAAGGTGTAAAACCTCTTTTCTATGCTGCCAAGAATAATCATAAGGATATTGTTTCCCTTCTTTTGGGAAAAGGAACTAATATAGATACTCCAAAAATATTTTGTGGGTTTACTTTGCTCCACACGGCAGTAGAAAATGGTCATTTAGAACTTACAAAATTTTGTCTTAGAAATGGTGCTGATGTTAATAGTCAGACTGATCAAGGTGCTGTTCCTTTACACTTAGCTACAGTCTATGGTCACTTCAATGTAGCGGAGGTATTAATTTCTGCTGGAGGAAATGTAAATGCTATGACTAATTTAGGTTGCACTCCATTGTGTAATGCGGTAGAATTTGGGCACAAAAAGCTTGTGAATTTGCTTTTGCAAAATGGGGCTGGTGTGAATACATTTGGATCTAGCTATGATAGTCCTTTGGCTTTTGCAGCATTGGAAGGGGATGGGGATATTTTAGAAATCTTATTAGCAGAAGGAGCACATGTTAATTCCTTGACAACAGAAGGATTTACTGCATTGCATCTGGCAGCAACAAAAGGTCACTACAATGTAGCTCAGATATTATTACATAATTCTGCATCAGTAAATATTAAGGATACCGATGGATATTCAGCTTTGCATAAAAGTTCCCAAAATGGCCATGAATCTGTTGTAGATTTACTACTAAACTTTGGGGCGAAAGTGAATGATAGGACAAAGGACAACAACATGCCATTACATCTAGCTGTTGTTAATAATCAGATTGACATTGTGAAAAATCTACTACTGTTTGGAGCTTCTATTAACTCTGTTAATAATAAAAATATGTCACCTCTACACCTAAGCTGTCAGAAAGGTTTTGAAGGTGTTACAAAAACACTAATTGAGAATGGTGCATGTATTAATGTAAAAGACTCAAAAAATAGAACTTCATTACATTATGCTGTGATAAGTGGCATCAAGGAAGTAGTGGAACTCCTGCTCATTAATCAAGCACAATTGCAGGAGAAAGACATACAAGGGCTTACTGCCCTACATTATGCTGCTGTATGTGGGGTTAAAACAATTCTGAATTCTTTGATTATTGAGAATGTTGACATTAATGTTTCAAACATGAAGAATGAAACACCTTTACATTTAGCTGTGAGTAGCAACCATACAGAAATTGTACAAAGATTACTAGATGAAGGGGCTGAGGCAAACGTTTTAGATACGAATTCTAATACACCATTGAATATTGCAGTTAAGAACAACAATAAAGAAATAGTTTCTTTGTTAATTTCTAAAAATGTTTACGTGAGTAACACTAATCTGATAGATGCTGTGAATTTAGGATATCCAGAAATTGTTGTTCTGTTATTAAGAAAAAATAAGAGATTTGATCTTAACATGAAGTCAGATAATGAAATGACCTTGTTATGTTCAGCAGTTTGTAAAGGTTACAGAACTATAGCTCAAATATTAGTTAATAAAGGAGCAGATGTTAATTTTGCATGTGGAAGTGAAAAATTTACTCCTTTACACGTTGCAACAGCAGGAGGTTATAAAGACATTGTACAAATGCTTCTTTACAAAAATGCAAAAATTAATGTCAAGTCATATGGAGACCATACTCCACTCCATGTAGCATCAGTTCTAGGGTATATTGATATAGTGGATGTTCTTGTAAATGCAAAAGCAGATGTAACTTTAAAAGATGATAAAAATCGAACTTGTGTAGAACTTGCAGTAGCTTATAATAATGTGAGTGTTGTAGAGTATTTATCTAAATTGGAAATTGTGGACATCAATGCGAAAGGAAATGGTGATTTTACATTATTACATATTGCTGCCCAAGGTGGACATCTAGAAATAACAAAATTCCTGGTAAAGATTGGTGCCAATATTTATGCCAAGAATTCTTTAGGTTCTATGCTATTCATATTGCAGCTAGGGAAGGCCATGTTAAGTTATGGATTTCTATCTTCTAGCCAAGTGAACATTAATGTTTTGTGAGCAGCTAATAAAGTTTATTACAATGATTATTGCTGCATTGGTTCAAATTGATTGTGAAATATCTTGTTGACAGAAAGATTGAAATAAATGCATCAGATGCCAATGGTTCAAAACCTATACACATAGCATCCTTCTTTGGTTTCATAGAAATCGTTTGTTTCTGTTAGAAAATGGAGCATATATGATGTTACTGACAAAAATTTCCGAACTCCTTTATTGATGTCTCAGAGTAGAGATATTTTTGCTTGTTTCAGTCAGTAGGAGAATTATTTGATGGGGTTGAGAGCAATAATTTTGAGAAAGTTTGCAAGAGCATAAGAGCAGGTGCAGTAGTAAATGTGAAAAATACTGACAATGTGACACCCCTTCATTATGCTGTTTGCAAGGGTCATGTGGAAATTGCCACTGTTCTTTTGCAAAATGAGGCAAATCCTAATGTTGTTGGAAAAGATGGCTGGACACTATTACATTATGCTGCCAAATTTTCACATTTAAAAATTGTGGAGTTATTGTTAATGCATGGGGCCATGTACAATGTGATGAATGACAATTATAAAATGCCTTGTGATGTAGCTGTCAATGGCAAAATCCTTGAATTATTAGAAAAAATAAATGTAGTCTTCACAAACGTTGTAAGAGGCAAGATGAAAGTCATTGATGATTTGAAAGCTGCAGATGATAATACAATGAATATTATCATAAAGGCTAAAGATAAACAAGGAAAATCTTTGCTGGTCAATGCAATACATTATAATTTTCCTTTAATTAAAGAATTACAAAGAATAATAGAAAGGGATATATTTTCTCTTAGAATCAAGGGCGGCACATTGCTTCAAAAAGAGAAATTTCAAGATGCTTTGCATGTTTATGAGTATGTTTTAGAAAAACAAAATTATGTCTTGGGACCTGATAATCCATGTTCATTAGATACAGAAGTTGAGATAGCAAAAATATACTATAAACTACAGGATTATTCAAAGGCATTGGAGATTCTCAGAAGTGTATACGAAAGGCAAAAGAAAATTCTGGGTAAAGATAATATAAAGAGCATAAAAACTAAAGAACATATTGCTTTAACACTTCACAGGCAAAATAATAATGAAGAAGCTCTAGATATTTTCAAAGAAGTGTGCCAGAAGCAAGAAGAAATGTTAGGACCAAATCACCTTGAAGTTTTAGGTTCTAAAATTCATATGGGATTGACCTTAAATGGACTTAAAAAATATGAAGAAGCATTGATAATTAATAGAGATATTTTTGAAAAGAGCAAAAAACTGTTTGGTTTCAATCATCACAGCACATTATCTGTCTATAATAATATAGCTATGGTACTAGGCAATCAAGGAAAATTTGATGATGCAATGGACATTTATAAAGTTGTTTATGAGAGAAGAAGGAGGATTCTAGGACCAACACATTCTGTAACTTTGGATACATTACGTAGAATGGCACAAATTCATTTGGGATTGCAGAACTATGATGCTGCTCTTGAGATGCTTGATAATATTTTTAAAGCACAAAAAAAATTTCTGGGATTAAATAACTTTATAACTTTGAAAACATGGTGTGACATGGCTGACATATTCTTTCTAGGTAAACGAAATTCTCATAAAGCTCTTGAAATGTACCGAGAAATCTATATGCATGAACAAAGTTTGCTAAGTCCTTGGCATCCTGATGTTTTAAATGTTTTAGAAAGGATAAACACTATTGAAATGGCTAATGAAATTTTTGGTATTATTGATCCAGTCACAGAACCCTCTTGTTTTGAAACTGCAAAGCAAGGTGTTATAAAAAATGACAAGAAAATTATTGAAGACCTGTTGATGAAAGGTCTTGATGTAAACGAGACTGATTCTGAAGGAAAGACATTGCTACATTATGCTGTTGATTGTGCTCAAAATTTAATTGTCTCTTTCTTATTGGAGAATAAAGCAGATTGTACCATTGTGACAAAGAAAGGCAACACACCTTTGCACATTGCTTGTTTAAAAAGTTATGAAGATATTGTTGAAATTCTATTGCAACATGTGAAGAAGTTCAATGAGAGTAAATTATTAGATTTTGTCAATGCAGCTACATTTTCAAGTTCTTCTACAGCCTTACATGTGACAAGAAATATTAAAATAGCCAAAGCTTTGTTGAAATGTGGAGCAATATTTAACAAGATAAACAAAGAAGGCAAAAAACCTATTGACTTAGTTTCAGATCCAGCAGTAATAGGAATACTTAAGTTATTGGAAGAAAGTTTTGAAGATGTTTATGCTGGAAACTCTGAAATTATTAATACACTGTTGCAAATGGATTTTGATATGTTTCTTGTAATAACCAATGCACAAAATTCAGAAGGGAAAACTCTGATCCAAGTTGCAAAGTTAAGAAACCATCATCACATAGTGAATACAATAATAAATGTATCAAGTCAGCATAAAATGAATGGTTATAACAATTATGATGAATATCCCAGAAATATGGGTTTGACTAAAACTGAATTTATTGAAATAAAAAATGTTAATGAGTTATGCAAGTTTATTGTAGGTAAAGGTTCTTCAGATCCATTTTGTATTTTGCGTAATGCTGAAAGATTCATGATTCAGCACCAACACATGTATGATCAGGCTGTAAAAGTCTTCAAGAAGCTGTTAAAAATACAACCAAAAGAATTCGGTTTCGTGTTTCTTGAAATTCGAGGACTAATAACAGAAGGTTCTAGTGATGATTTTGGAATGCATCATAAAATAGTTGGTACTAATTTCCATAATGCAGCTTGTGCAGGAGAAATGTATGTTCTTAAACATTTTTTAGCTGAAGGATTTAATGTAAACACACAAGACTGTAAAGGAAGAACAGCTCTGCACTATGCTGCTAATAACAAACAAAATTGCGTAATTTATTTTTTATTAGAGAATGGAGCAGATTGTTTACTTACAACTGATAAAGGAAATACAGCTTTGCATATAGCCTCTTCTAAAGGTCATGGAGAAATTGTTGAAATTTTATTGCAACACATGAAGCTAGTGAACTTAGAGAAATTACGCGATTTAGTTGATGCAAAAAACACTGCAGGTACTACTGCATTACATGTAGCTCCAGATTTGAGAATTACAATGGCACTTTTAAGATGTGGTGCTACTTATAATGCTGTAAACAATGCTGGTCAGTTACCTATTGATTTAATGAAAGATCAGGAAATAGTAAGTATTTTTAAGTTGCTAAACAAAATTTTTGAAGCTGTATATAAAGGAAATTCTGAAGTGGTTGACATTTTCTCACATATTGATCCTCTTGTACTCACTGCTATTGCTAATGTGCGTAATCATGAAGGTAAAACCATCAGTCAGTTGGCATTAATAAAAAACCTTCCAGATATTGCATATGTGTTGATAAATACTCTGAAAAGCTATAAAAATCTCGAAGAAACACGTATCTTAAGATATTTTATTATGGATAAACATGAAGATGAAATTACAGATCTTAAAAAACAAATATGTGATATCCATTCAGGCCTTCCAAACTTTCACAGAGCACAACTGATCAGAATACAGGAACTTTTCTTCAGTTGTCAGAAAATATATGAAATGGCTGTGAAAAGCTATGAAATGGTTCTGAAAACTCTTGGGCTGAAAGTGAATGGAAGTAATTATGTTTTAAATGAATTAAAAAATGATTGCAGCATAAAGCCATGTTTGAGCTTGAATTTTCTTCATCAAACTGTAAATAAATTTGTTGATGAGGGTGATGTAGAAGCTCTTGGAAAAGTATTGGCTGACAAATATGATATTGATTACAAAGATTCTGAAGGAAAGACACTCTTACATCGTGCAGTTATTAATTCTCAAAAAGGTATTGTACATTTTCTTTTGACTAAAGGGGCAAGTTGTGTGAATATCTCTTTTGATGGTAATACCCCTTTGCACCTAGCATCAAGTAAAGGTGATTCAGAAGTTGTTGAAATGTTAATAGAGTATGTGAAGAAAAATAACAACAATCAGTTAGACACTCTTGTCAACAAACGAAATACATTTTCTGGAAACACAGCGTTACATGTTGCTACTAACTTTGAAATTGTTAAAATGTTGTTAAAAAATGGTGGAGGTTATGATATTATAAATGAAGAAGGGAATTCACCAATTGATCTTCATAATGAAGAAAAGACAGTTTATATGCTTGGATTGATTGATAATCTTTTCAAAGATGCTCACAGAGGTGATCTTAATATCCCAAGAAAATTAAAACAATGCAACTATGAAGATTTTACACTTATTATAAATACTTTGAATAATCAGAGAAAATCAATTCTAGATATTCTAGAAGACGGTAATCACAGTTTCTTGCTTCATGAAATTAGAGATCTGCAAAAGATATCCAATCAAGATCTTCTAGATATTGTGGAACCAGATTCAAATTATTTACTTAAAATGTTTCCTAATAGGTTAGCACGTGTTGTGAATTGGACTTATTGCACACTTCTTTAACAGATATTGAATAATGTATTCGAAAAATATTTTATTATTTTAAAATTGATTTTCTTGTAGTGCATTATATAGCCTATGTATGTAATCATTAGTGTGTACCTTTTTTATAAAATGCTGTGAAACAAAAGAGCCCGAATGGGGGCCATCCATATATTAAGTAATGCAAATTTGAAGTATCTTGAATGTATCCCCTCTTTCCCTGTACCTTTCCCCATTTTCAGTAAGTAAAAATGAAATGTAAAGCAGTAAGGAGGAGTTGTATTTATTTGGTTAAATTGTTCATTGCGCGATCTTGGTCATTAATTGAAATTTATGATAATTAAATTCAGAATTAGTTTACAATGCATACTGCACCTAACAATAAGATTAAAGACAATTCATGAATTAAGGATGAACGATAGGCTAGAAATTTCTGATGAGCTGTGCAAACGCTGTTGTGGATAATGCGTGGTTCCTGTGTCTGCTTAATTGGATTCCAGAATATACTATAGATCAGTAATGAATATTTTCTTCTAATCTAACACA